CGTACAAATGTTTAGGCCCCTTCTGCACAGCCATATGAAATCCATATTATCTGCTTTGAACTGGATTATATTGCAGTGTAGATTTGTAGATTATCTGCTTTCATAATTATATGCCAGTGTAGAAAGGGTCACATTCCTATTGTAAGAGTTAACTTTTACCAATTCTGCACTGCACACACATTTAAATGTGTTATGAAGGGGTGGTTTCAATGGCCAGGTAACACTATATGTGCCTTATTTATTTTTTGCTTCCTAAATGTTTGTGGAACTTGAAGCAAATAGGCCAATTCAAACTAAATCAATATCTCCAAAGAAGGAGATTCTGGCTTGCTAGCAACTGCCTTGGAGATATATTTCAGAACACTTATTTGCAACCTGACCAAGAAATGTTGTATTTTGATCTAACGTTATCATGGGTTTGGGGCAGGTGTGTTCACTTTTCAGCTGGAGAAGATGCTGTTTGCACGGAGATGATGAGATGCATGAGATGACATGTCTGTACTTTAGGCAACTATGGGCTGCCTTGATTTGAAACGAGCTGTTTTATCGATTCCGACCTACAGAGAGTCGATCGCAATTTTTTCTTGGCAAAACTTGATCAGGGAAAAAAGAAACGCTTTGCCATTGTTTTCCTCTGAAGCTGGATGTGACAAGGTTTCTGCGTCCAACTCTGGTCTCCACAGTGCTTAAACAACAACACATCTTAGGCCCCATCTACACTGAAATATAATCCAGTTTCTGTATCTAGACTATCTGTTTTGAACTGTATTATAGGGCAGTGTTGACCCAGCCTTTGAAGGACAGTATTGTGCATGTTAGGATACCATCCTCTTGGAACAATATTTATTTATTTGCTTTATTTTTATACTGCATTTTTCAGCCTAATTCGGCGACTCAATGCGGTTTACAATGCAATTTATTACAATAACAATTAGTTAAAACACAGTATACACAACAGACAATACAAACAACACAACAACACAACATAGTCATCAACGCCTCAGTAAAAATCAGATTCCGTTCTCGTAATCCTTCTACCATTCCTTGTTCATTTATACCGTCTTCATGAGTTCAATTGCCATGTTGACCGAACGCCTGTTCATAGAGCCACGTCTTGACCTTCCTCCGGAACTCCAGCAACGAAGGGGCCTGCCTGATGTCTACGGGTAGGGCATTCCATAGCCGAGGGGCCACCACCGAGAAGGCCCTGTCTCGTCCCCGCCAGCCGCGCCTGCGACGCAGGCGGGACCGAGAGCAGGGCCTCCCCAGACGATCTTAACGTCCTCGTCAGTTCATAGGTGGAGATGCGTTCGGAGAGGTAAGCAGGGCCAGAACCGTTTAGGGCTTTATAGGCTAAAGCCAGCACCTTGAATTGTGCCCGGTATCAGTTGGCAGCCAGTGGAGCTGGCTCAGCAGAGGAGTGGTATGCTCCCTGAGTGCCACTCCCGTTAGTAACCTGGCCGCTGAGCGCTGGACCATCTGCAGCTTCCGGGCAGTCTTCAAGGGCAACCCCACGTAGAGCGCGTTTCAGTAATCAATCCGGGATGTAACCAGAGCGTGGACTACCGTGGACTACCGTGGCCAATAGTAAGTAAAATAAAAGGAACTAGCGGTGGAGTCAAACAGTGTGGGGAAATCAGATCTGATATTTTTCTCTTTAAAGGGGATACAAATAAAAAAGGAATACTGGAACTATGTGTCCCAATAGACAAGTATTTCCGGTATTTCTGATGGTAGAGAAAGTACAAGCAAGTGCTGTCTTGCTTTTGTTATTACCCCCCCCCCCCCCCAAGAATATGGTGTGATGTAGGCTGGATCTACAGTGCCATATAATTCAGATTATCAAATCAAATAATCCAGTTTATCTGATTTGAACAGGGTTATATGAAGGCCCTTCCACACAGCCTATATTCCTGGAATATCAAGGCAGAAAATCCCATAGTATCTGCTTTGAACTGGGTTATTTGAGTCCATACTCAGACAATGTGGGATTTTCTGCCTTGATATTCTGGGATATAGGGTTGTGTGTAAGCGCACTGAGTGTGGACTCAGATAAGGCTAATAGAGGAGTTGTGGACCAAAACATCAGAGGATCAGTGAAAGCTCAGTGGATCACATTGGATTAGTCATATTCTTGTGTTGTCGAAGGCTTTCATGGCTGGAATCACTGGGTTGCTGTGTGTTTTCCAGGCTGTATGGCCATGTTCCAGAAGCAGGAGAGAATGCTTCTGGATCATGGCCTTACAGCCAGGAAAACTCACAGCAACCCAGTCATATTCTTCTTGAATAATTCATAAAGTTTTGGGGATAATACAAGGTGGAAAAAAGTGTTACCTATACCTCATGCTCTGCTATTGGAAGGCCAATGCAAGCTTCCTAAAAAGTTCTTGCAGTGTGTATTCGAGGTGTTGATTGTGTTTGAGTTGTTGATGCTCTTTCAGGGAAAGCAGGGAAAGTACAAGAGCAATTGCTGCCATTTCAGATGAATGGGCGTTAATGGGCTGCTGTTTCCATGTGAAAGGGAAATGGCAATTGCTGCCTTTTCAGGCGGATAGGTCTTTAGCTGCCCAACTCTAACAGAGGGATTTATTTTTAATGGCTCTGTGAGATCGCACCTTATAAACCCAGTGCACAATAGTTTTAGAAGCTGCAGAGTGATTTTAAAAGGTGAGAAGTCCTTTACGTCGAAATATGTTTGGTCAAAATGCCATCTTGAGGCCAAGCTGGTGCAATTTAGGAACTAAATCAGCAGCTTTGTGGACTAAAGGTTTATTTATTTATTTATTTGCATTGTTTCTACTCCACTCATATCAGCCTGAAGGCAACTCAGAGCGGCGTACACAATCGGCACAATTCGATGCCATAAAAATACATACATTGATAAACAAAAAGAACCATTATAGTGCAATTAGACATAAGACAGTGCATAATAACAATATTAAAAACTTAAAGGCTAACCTTAGAGATTCTAAGGAACTGTGGGAGTTGAAGTCCAAAACGTGCCTGCTCTAGAGCAAAAACATAGAAGGAATGGCTTGTATTCCAGTGTGGTTTTGGTTCAGTGGCACCCATTGATAGAGCGGGTTACAAATAGTGTTGTTGTTTGTTTGTTTATTTATTTATTTGCAACATTTATATGCCACCCTTCTCACCCCGAAGGGGACTCAGAGCGGCTTACAGATTCTATGTACATACAATATATTATTAGCATAACGCAATATTAGTATTATATATTGCTATATTGTACTATGCAGTATAGTGCAATATTATTAGTAATATTGCATGTAATATGACATTTAAAATTATTATATTGTATTATTATTAGTATTATATCATATTATAATACTATCAATGATATATGTGTATACAATATATTATATTAGCATAGCACAATATTAGTACTATATATTACTATATTGTACTATACCACTATACTGCAATATTAGTCATATTTATAAAATTACTATATTGTATTATTATATTGTATTGCATAATAATATTATCAACATTATACATGTATACATGATATATTATTTTATTAGCACAGCACAATATTAGTATTTATATATTACTATATTCTACAATACCACTATACTGCAATATTATTAGTAATATTACATGTAATATGAAATATAAAAATATTATATTGTATTATTATTAGTATTATATTGTATTGCATTATARTATTATCATGACAGGGAGCTCTGGCGAGGGCTGGTCCATGAGGTCACGAAGAGTCGGAGACGACTGAASGAATGAACAACATAATATTATCAATATTATGTTTATACAATATATTTTATTAGTAGTAATATTGCATGTAATATAAAATATAAAAATATTATATTGTATTATTATTAGTATTATATTGTATTGCATTATAGTATTATCAATATTATATGTTTATACATTATTATTAGCACAGCACAATATTAATGTTATACATTACTATATCGTACTGCACCACTATACTGTAATATTATTAGTAATATTACATGTAATATAAAYTACAGAATTATTATATTGTCATTATTTGTATTRTATTGTATTGCATTATAATATTATCAATAATATATGTGTATACAATATATTATTAACACAATGCAATATTAGTTTTATGTATTACTATGTTGTACTATACCACTATACTGTGATATTATTAGTAATATTACATGTAATATAAATTACAAAATTATTATGTTGTCATTATTTGTATTATATTGTATTGCATTATAATATTATCAATAATATATGTGTATACAATATATTATTATATATTACTATATTGTACTATACCGCTATACTGCAATATTATTAGTAATATTACATGTAGTATAAAATACAAAATTATTATATAGTAGTATTGTTAGTATTATATTGTATTGCATTATAATATTATCAATAATATATGTGTATACAATATATTATTAACACAGCACAATATTATATATTACTATGTTGTACTATACCACTATACTGTAATATTATTAGTAATATTACATGTAATATAAACTACAGAATTATTATGTTGTCATTATTTGTATTATATTGTATTGCATTATAATATTATCAATAATATATGTGTATACAATATATTATTAACACAGCACAATATTATATATTACTATGTTGTACTATACCACTATACTGCAATATTATTAGTAATGTTGTCGTTGTTTGTGTTATTATTGTGTATTGGAGAGAGTGCTTCCAGTCCTTTCCCGGGGCCTGGCTGCACGTGGCTCGCCTTTCCAGCTGCCGGGTGGTTCATCCAAGGCGGAAAAGCCCGAACCCGGCAGCCGGAAAACCCCGAAGCGCCTTCGTTTGCTTGAGCGGCTTCCGAATCCTTCCGAGCATTGATCTTCCGGAAATACCCGAGCGCCTTCGTTGTTCCGTTTCACGCTCTGCCCCCTCCGGAGGCTTTCCGGAGGTTGCCGAGCGGCGTGCCGGAAAGGTCCGAGCGCGAGTATGTCCTCCTCCCCTGCCACCCAAGGGAGGCCGAGTGCTTCCGCAGATTGCCGAGCGGCATCCGAGCGTGCGAAAGGACGCGGCGGCGTCGGGCCTGGTCGTTTTCGGGCGGAAAGGAAGGAAGAAAGGGAGGCAAGCGAGAGGTAGGGCGGGCCGGCCTCGGAAGGGGGGCTCTGGGGGCCCCTTCCCCGCCTCCCTTTGTTCCAGGAGCCCCCCACCCCCCCTCCCCTTTTGTGACCCCAGCTGTCAATCAAGCCCCTCCTCCCGCCCCCTTTCCTCCATGTTTTCCTCTTTCTGTCAAAAACCCCAGGACTCTTAAGTATGGGACTCTTCCCACTTCTACACTGCCATATAATCCAGATTATCCACCTTGAACTCCAATTGTATGGCTGTGTAGACTCATATAATCCAGTTCAAAGTGGATAATCTGGATTATAGGGCAGTGAAGACTCATCATCCAGTTGAAAGTGGATAATCTGGGTTCTATGGCAGTGTTGACTCATATCGTCCAGTTCAAGGTGGATAATCTGGATTATATGGTAGTGAAGGCTCAGATCATCCACTTCAAGACAGACAATCTGGATTATATGGCAGTGAAGGCTCAAATCATTCAGCTGAAAGTGGATAATCTGGATTATATGGCAGTGTGGACTCATATCCAGTTCAATGTGGATAATCTGGGTTCTATGGCAGTGTGGACTCATATCGTCCAGTTCAAGACAGACAATCTGGATTATATGGCAGTTTAGACTCATCATCCAGTTCAGAGCAGATAATTTATTTATTTATTTATTTACTCCTTTTGTATACCGCAAATATCAGCCAACGGCGACTCTAAGCGGTTTACAGTAAAATGTGCAACATTGAACAATATATATGACAAACAACCACAAACAATACACAAAACGTCATCACGCCTCGAATAGAATCAGATCCAAATCTCACAGTCGTTTTACCATTCCTTGTTCAGTATGCCGTCTTCTGAGTCAGATGTTATTGCATGCTTATCCGAACGCCTGTTCGAAGAGCCACGTCTTAACCCGCCTCCTAAACGCCAATAGCGAGGGGGCCTGCCTGATCTCCACTGGTAGGGCATTCCATAGCCGAGGGGCCACCACCGAGAAGGCCCTGTCCCTCGTCCCCGCCAGCCGCACTTGTGATGCTGGCGGGACCGAGAGCAGGGCCTCCCCGGACGATCTTAACATCCTCGCCGGTTCGTAGGCGGAGATGCGTTCGGAGAGGTAAGTGGGGCCGGAACCGTGTAGGGCTTTATAGGCTAAAGCCAGCACCTTGAATTGTGCTCGGTAGCAAATTGGCAGCCAGTGGAGCTGGCTCAACAGTGGAGTGGTGTGCTCCCTGAGTGCCGCTCCCGTTAACAACCTGGCTGCCGAGCGCTGGACCATCTGAAGCTTCCGGGCAGTCTTCAAGGGCAACCCCACGTAGAGCGCGTTGCAGTAATCTATGCGGGATGTGACAAGAGCATGGACTACCGTGGCCAAGTCCGACTTCCCAAGGTACGGGCGCAGCTGGCGCACAAGCTTTAGCTGTGCAAATGCGCCCCTGGTCAACCGCTGAAACTTGGGGTTCCAAGCTTAGCGAAGAGTCCAGAGTCACACCCGAGCTGCGAACCTGCGTCTTCAGGGGGAGTGCGACCCCGTCCCACACAGGCTGTAACCCTATACCCTGTTCGGCCTTCCGACTGACCAGGAGTACCTCTGTCTTGTCTGGATTGAGTTTCAATTTGTTCACCCTCATCCAGTCCGACACAGCGGCCAAGCACCGGTTCAGGACCTGGACAGCCTCCTTGGTAGTAGGTGGAAAGGAGTGACAGAGTTGGACGTCATCTGCGTACAGATAACACCGCACCCCGAAACTCCGGATGATCTCTCCCAACGGCTTCATGTAGATGTTGAACAACATGGGGGACAGTATTGAACCCTGCGGGACCCCACACGTCAATGGTTGTGAGGACGAGCAGGTGTCCCCCAGTAACACCTTCTGGGTGCGGTCCTCTAGGAAGGACCTGAGCCACTGTAGAACAGTGCCCCCCAGGCCCATTCCCACAAGGCGCCCCAGAAGGATACCGTGGTCGACGGTATCGAAGGCCGCTGAGAGATCCAGCAGAACCAACAGAGACACACTCCCCCTGTCGAGCTCACGCCGGAGATCATCGACCAAGGCGACCAAGGCTGTCTCGGTACCATGCCCCGGCCTAAAGCCAGACTGCAATATAATATATATTATATTGCAGTGTGGGCTCATATTGCCCAGTTCAAAGTGGATAATCTGGATTATATGGCAGTGTAGACTCGTATCATCCAGTTCAAAGTGGATAATCTGGATTATATGGCAGTGTAGACTCAGATTACACAGTTCAAGGCAGATAACCTGGATTATATGGCAGTGTAGATTCATATTGTCCAGTTCAAAGCAGATATTCTGGATTATATGGCAATGTAGGTTCATATTGTCCAGTTCAAGGTAGATAATCTGGGTTATATGGCACTGTAGGCTCATATTGTCCAGTTGTTGTTGTTCTTGCTGTTGTTGTTATATGGATTATATCACTGTGTTGCTGTGAGTTTTCCTGGACTGTCTGGCCATGTCGCAGAAGCATTATCTCCTGACGTTTCTCCCACATCTATGGCAGGCATCCTCAGAGGTGTGACGTCTGTTGGAAACTAGCCAAGTGGGATTTATATCCCTGTGGAATGATGTCCAGGGTGGGAGAAAGAACTCTGGTCTGCTTGAGGCAGGTGTGAATGTTGGAGTTGGTCACCTCGATTAGCATTGAATGGCCTTGCAGCTGCAAAGTCAATCAGTGAGGGTATCTGCATCGAGGTCTGTTGGAAACAAGGCAAGTAGGGTGTATTTACATCTGTGGAATGTTTTTAAAAACTCTAAATTCAGGGCAGTAAATAAAGAGCAACACTCAAAAAATAGGGGTATTCCAGACAAGAATAAATCAGGGCCAGCTAACACTTTCAAACAAAGGATTCCCCTAGCAGCAATCAGCCAGGCTTTAAAGCTGCAAGGCCAGTTGCAACATTCACACTTGCCTCAAGCAGACAAGAGTCCTTTCTCCCACCTCGGACTTGATTCCACAGATATATAAACCCCACTTGCCCTCCTCCACAAATAACCTGCTTTTCCTTTATCTCACCTGAGTTTTTAATCAGTTTTTAATTAGTTTTCTTTTAATCATTACATGTAACCCGCCCATTGTCACTGCGATTGTGTTTATTGTAATTTTATATCGTTGTGCATTCATATATTTTATGTAATCATGATGTTGTTGTTTATTGTTGCGTTTTCGGTTTTATTACTGTAATTTGTTCTTTGGGCTTAGCCTCATGTAAGCTGCCCATCGGAGTCCCCATCTGAGATGGTGGCAGAGTATAAATAAAGATTATTATTATTATTATTAGTTTTTATTCTCAGAAAAAGGCGACAACAGGCCTCCTCTGAACAAATCTTGCCAAGAAGACCTTGAGACTTAAGTCTTCAAGAATATTATACAAAGTAGATGGTCAAGAACTGTGACCTTGATTAAGGAAAATTGCTGGAAGTCAATGCCTTTATGATACCCTCGAGAAACTAACTTGTTTGTTAATATGCAGCTAATAAGCAACATAATCTGACTCAGATTAATTTAGGTAACATTCTAATTGAAGAGCACATCCTAGTTCAACTCTGTCACTCCTTCCCAACTACTACTAAGGAGGCTGTTCAGGTCCTGAACCGGTGCTTGGCCGCTGTGTCGGACTGGATGAGGGCTAACAAATTGAGATTGAATCCAGACAAGACAGAGGCACTCCTGGTCAGTCGAAAGGCCGAACAGGGCATAGGGTTACAGCCTGTGTTGGACGGGGTCGCACTCCCCCGGAAGACGGAGGTTCGTAGCTTGGGTGTGATCCTGGGTTCATCGCTGAACCTGGATCTCCAGATTTCGGCAGTGAGCAGAGGAGTGTTTGTACAATTAAAACTTGTGCGCCAGCTGCGCCCGTACCTTGGGAAGTCTGACTTGGCCACGGTGGTCCACGCTCTGGTTACATCCCGAATAGATTACTGCAACGCGTTCTACGTGGGGTTGCCTTTGAAGACGGCCCGGAAGCTTCAAATTTATTTATTATTTATTTAGAGTTTTTATAGCCCGAGGAGGGACTCAGGCCGGCTAACAACATGGGATTCAATACAATAAGAAAAGCATTATAAATCACCAATATAAAATACATTAAAATACAATTCATACAATTCATACAAGTTACAACAAAAACCAGTTCCTCAGAATGAATCACAAATTCATCACTACCAGCCAGAAAGGTCAGCAATTATTGACTCCGTCATCATTCTGCAAATGCAGTATCCCAAAGCCATGTCTTTACCAGTTTTCTAAACGTCAGGAGGGAAGAGGCAGATCTGATCTCCATCAGGAGGAAGTTCCAAAGCTGAGGGGCCACCACCGAGAAGGCCCTGTCCCTCGTCCCCACCATACGCGATTGCGAAGGCGGTGGGACCGAGAGCAGGGCCCCTCCAGCGTGCGGCAGCCAGGTGCTAACAGGAGCGGGGCTCAGGGAGCATATAACTCCTCTGTTGAATCAGCTCCACTGGCTGCCAGTCTGCTACCAGGCTCAATTCAAAGTGCTGGCTTTAGCCTATAAAGCCCTAAACGGTTCTGGCCCAGTCTATCTATTTGGACGCATCTTTCCCTACGAACCCCCCAGGAACTTAAGATCGCCTGCTCTCAATCCCGCCTGCTTTGCAGGCACGTCTGGCGGGGACGAGAGACAGGGCCTTCTCTGTGGTGGCTCCCCAGCTGTGGAACTCCCTCCCCAGGGATATTAGATCAGCCCCCTCCCTTCTGACTTTCCGAAAAAGAGTAAAAACTTGGCTCTTTGAGCAAGCATTCGGAACCCCGGAGTAAACAGACAAACTAGAGTTGGAAATTGACCCAGGAACGGCCAAGACAATGTAACGGATGAAGATTTGAACGAGAGGACATAGTCTCTTTTAAAATTGTTCATTATGCACTGTCGTTTATGTGTAATTGCACTTGATGTTTTTCCTTTATCAATGTATGTAATTTGTTTCGGCATCGAATTGTGCCGACTCTGTATACCGCCCTGAGTCGCCTTCGGCCTGAAATGGGCGGGATAGAAATAATGTAAATAACGTAACTAAATAAATGCAAGTTCTGTCCTAAGAAAACAAATTGAACCTGCTTCTTTGTCGTTCTAGGTATGGAGACCAGAAAGCTAATTACCGCCACGGACAACCAGTACTCTGGTATGCTCTTAAAGGCTTTGGATGAGCAACGTGGCCACGGACTTTTTTGTGACGTTACTGTCATTGTGGAGGACCGGAAATTCCGAGCCCATCGAAATGTCCTCTCCGCCTCAAGCACTTACTTCCAGCAGCTCTTCTCGGTGGCTGGGCAAGTGGTGGAGCTGAACTTTGTTAGGGCAGAGATCTTTGCAGAAATTCTCAACTACATCTACAGTTCCAAAATAGTCAGAGTGAGGTCGGACTTGCTCGACGAGTTGATCAAATCAGGGCAGTTGCTGGGAGTCAAGTTTTTGGCCGATCTGGGGGCCCCTCTGCAGCAAGTGAAGAACATGTCGGGTGGGATGGGGCCCGGCACGTCGGAAATCCCCAACCCGGACGCAAACAGCCTCGAAACGCTAAACTCTCCAGCCCAGCCCGGGACGCGGGATCTCATTGATGAGAAACCTGTGATAATGGAAACGTTTTCGTTGTGCGACAAGGAGTGCGACAACACGAAGATCACCATTAGCGATTCCGATGACGACGACGATGTCATTTTCTGTTCGGAGCTCGTAGCACCAAAGGAGCCCAAAGGGGCAACCCAAGGCCAGCCTTGCGCAAACTCAGTGGGGGCTTCTGAGCAAACAAACTGTGGGAGCAGCACCTCCCCTCAATCCGTGGCAGACTCCTCTGCCGTTCAGACAAACCCAACCGAAGGCCAAGCGCCGACTGAGGCGCCTGCCCCTTCTGCTCTGAATGCTGCGGCACCTCACATCCTGACATTGAATCCGTCGCAGATGGGTGCTTCGCCGGATGTTAGCTCGTCGCATGAAATAGAGGTGTCTCCTATCCCTGAGGAGAATCAGCCGCCATGCCATAATGATTCTTTGACAGACATGGAAACCAATGCCGTTGACGAGGAGGAAGAGGACGACGAGGATGTGGAAGACGACGATGACATCCTCGGCGCGTCCAGCCCGGGTTCGGCGAGCAGTAGCTCTTTGGTCCAGCAGCCCACTACTACTCCCAAGCCTACTATTGCTGCTGCTTCTACTACTATTACTACTACTGATGTTACCACTGCTGCTGTTGTGTCTACAACCGACAACGCGGGGCTTCAGAAGACGCAAGCGATCGCCCTGCTGCAGAAGCCGGTCCCTCAACCGAACGAGTTCAACATCAAGATTTCGAATGTTATCTCTGCGAGCAAAAAGGATGCTCCGGCAGGCGTTGCGCCGAAGCATATCACCGAAGGCCAGAAGACGATCACTTTGGACACGGCGACGGAGATCGAAGGCTTGTCGACGGGTTGCAAGGTGTACGCGAATATCGGCGAAGATACCTACGACGTCGTCATTCCGGTGAAACACGAGGCCGACGGGGAAGTCCGGCTGGACGACGTGCCCAGGACGTCGGGGGACGATTCCGCCGACCGGAAGCGCCTGAAGGTCAAGCACGACGACCATTATGAACTCATCATGGACGGGAAAGTCTATTACATCTGTATCGTGTGCCGGAGGTCCTACGTTTGCCTGACGAGTTTGCGGAGACACTTTAACGTCCATTCCTGGGAGAAGAAATACCCCTGCCGCTACTGCGAGAAGGTTTTCCCTCTGGCCGAGTACCGCACCAAGCACGAGATCCACCACACCGGAGAGAGAAGGTACCAGTGCTTGGCGTGCGGTCAGTGTTTCATCAACTATCAGGTCATGGCGACACACCTGCGCTCCGTGCACAGCCAGGATCCTTCGGGGGAGTCCAAGCTGTACCGCCTGCACCCGTGCCGCTCTCTGCAGATCAGAAATTATGCATATATTTCAGGTAGTTCTAGCAATAGTATACCGATGGCGAATGACAATGCTCTCGTTTACCCCGTTGCTCCTGCAAAAGATGCTTCTCAGGAACCAGCCCCGAACCCTCCGGCAAAGCCAATGACGTGGGATGATATCTTTGTTCCGCAGGCGAACGAGTCTCTCTTTAAACAAAACCCATCCGACGGTAGTACTGAGTTTGAGTTCGTGATACCCGAATCGTATTGAAATGATCTGAAATGGAAATGTGGGAATTTTTTTATATATATATACATATATAAAAAAAGATAAAGTTAAAAAATATCCCTGCAAAAATGGGCTGCTCGAGAAAAAAGTTGTAGAACATCTCATGTTATGTAAACAAAGTCTGTGTGTTTTATACCTAGCCAGCAAAAGGTAGTATTTTGAAAGTAGAATCCCTGTGATGTTTTGGGTGACCTTGTGAAAGATGCTTGGACGGAGCGGGAAACACCTTTAGTTGAGGGCAGGCAACGTTGTTTAGGAAATTACACGCTCAGAGCACTTAGCTCATCAGTGTCCATCCAGGTCAGGAACGTTCCCAACCACAGCAAAATGTACAATAATGGGAATATTGCCACTTGAACCACTTAATATGTATTCCCTTCTTCCATATTAGCACTTTAACGCAGAAAGTCCTTTCATCATTAATGCTGGAGACTACAAAAGGGCAGACGAGATAGGTTTTTTTGAAATAGAAAACAATACGGTCTATGTGTTGTCGAAGGTTTTATAGCCAGAGTCATTGGGTTGCAGTGAGTATTCCAGGCTGCCTGGCCATGTTCCAGAAGCATTCTCTCCTGACATTTCGCCCACATCTATGGCAGGCATCCTCAGAGGTTGTGAGGTCAGTTGGAAACTAGGCAAATGGGGTTTATATCCCTGTGGAATGATGTCCAGGGTGGGAGAAAGAACTCTTGTCTGCTTGAGGCGAGTGTGAATGTTGCCATTGGCCACCTTGATTAGTATTGAATGGCCTTGCATCTGCAAAGTCAGTCAGTGAGGGTATCTGCATAGAGGTCTGTTCAAAATGAGGCAAGGAGGGTGTATATATATCTGTGGAATGATGTCCAAGGTGGGAGAAAGAATTCTTGCCTGTTGCAGGCAAGTGTGAATGTTGTAATTAACCATCTTGTTTAGCATCAAGTAGCCTTGCAGCTTCCAAGCCTGGCTGGTTGCTGCCTGGTGGGAATCCTTTGCTGGGAGGTGCTAGCTGGACTTGATTGTTTTGTGTCTGGAATTCCATGTTTGTTAAAAAAAAAACTCTAAAATTTGGACAGTAAATAAAGAACAACACTAAGTAGGGAAATTCCAGACAAGAATCAATCAAGGCCAGCTAACACCTCCCAACAAAGGAGTCCCCCAGGCAGCAACCAGACAGGCTTTGAAGCTGCAATGCCATTTAATGCTAATCAAGGTGACCAGCTGCAACATTCACACTTGCCTCAAGCAGACAAGAGTTATTTTGCCTGCCTTGAACATTCCAGATATATACACCCAACTAGCTTAGTTTCCAACAGACCTCCTTGATTAGCACTGAATGGCCTTGCAGCTTCAAAGCCTGGCTGATTGCTGCCTGGGGGAATACTTTGTTGGGAGGTGTTAGCTGTCCCTGATTTATTTTTGTCTGTAATTCCCCCATTTTTTTAAGTATTGCTCTTCATTTAATGTCCTGATTTTGTCTGTTGGAGGCAAGTGTGAATATTGCAATTAATCACCTTGATTAGCATTGAAAAACCTAAACTCTAAAATCAGGATATTAAATAAAGAACAACACTCTAAAAACAAGGGAATTCTAGGCATGAAACCATCAGGGCCAGCTAACACCTCCCAACAAAGGATTCCCCCAGACAGAAAGCAGCCAGGCTTTGAAGCTGCAAGACCATTCAGTACTAATCAAGGTGGCCAGTTGCAGCATTCATACTTGCCTCAAGTGGACAAGAGTTCTTTATCCCACCCTGGATATTATTCCACAGATAGATAGATAGATCCTCAACTTGCCTTCTTTCCAACACACCTCTATTCAGATACCCTCACTGATTGACTTTGAAGCTGCAAGGCCATTCAATGCTAATCAAGGTGGCCAATTGCAGCATTCACACTTTCCTCAAACAGAAAAGAGTTCTTTCTCCCACCCTACGTATTCTTCCACAGATACATAAACCCCACTTGCCTAGTTTCCAACAGACCTCACAACCTCTGGGGATGCCTGCCATAGATGTGGGTGAAACATCAGGAGAGAATGCTTCTGGAACATGGGCCATACAACCCAGAAAACTCACCGCAACCCAGTGTGGTCTTTACCTCTGAAGGTAGCTTAGCTCAGTGCGGCTCCAACAGCATTACTCATGAATCCTACTATTTTTTTGGAGTTGCATCCTAATTCCATTATTTTTCTGCCTGTAAACATTCACCAAGGCGCTCCAGGTGAATGTTACCCATCCTGGAGAAGGAGTGAGATCCTCCGAAGGGGAGAAATCCGAATGTTATTTATATTTGGTAACAAAAGTTATCCGGTGGCTGGACCATCTTTTGACGTTCTGTCAGTCGAAAGTCCAAGTGACACTGATGGAAAAACGACCTGTATGCAAGGTTTTTTTTTTCCTGATACTGAGGAATTATCTTGGGCCTTCTTTCTACTGAAAAATTAGAATATGAGTTTTTGGATTAAGTTGCTGTTTTGCCTTTTTTGTGACAGAGGCAGTTGTGCAGGTTCTTAAGGACGTAGAAGCTGCTTCCCAAAGCTGCACCGCAAATGACGCTTTTGCTTCCAGAACCTATTTACAGTTTTGCAGGAGTCAAGTTCATACCCTTGGGACATCTTTTGATAGGCTTTATATGGCGTCCATGTTACGATTTCAGGCCTTGGGTGGCCTGCTTCCCTTGCAGATTGGTACACATGTTATGCAGTGTTTGGGTGAAAGCAGGAGCAAGAAATACTCACCCTGAACATCCAGCCATCATGCAGTCTTGTTCCTTCGTCAGCAAGTGTCAGTTATAATATGGGATCATGATTAGATCTGGATAAACACCGTCAGTGGCATGTAATTACGTTTTCTTTCCATATTTTGGGAATTTTGTTTTGTTTTCATTGATATTTTCCCAAGTAAACCTCTGTTTCATATTGAAAACAATACTTTTTTTAGTCTCTCCGTTCCAAAGCCAAGGTTTGGTTGGAGTACATGACTGACCTGTATCACGCCGTGACGAAAAGAGCATCGGAAAGGCAGTGTGTGTAGTAACAAGACAAAGAGGAAGGACTTTTGTGTTGATGTAAAACACAGCTCTTCTCGTTCTCTAGGCTGAGAATCAACCTGTTTAGAGGTGGAGTTTATAAAAGTAGATTTTGTAAACCATGTTTAAAAACGGGCATTTCGTATTTAAGTGCAGGGTTGGTGATTTATGTTTTGTAACACAGGCAGGTACTTCACTCATGTTTTCGGAGCTCGGATCTTCACAAAAAGAATTTTAAAAAGTTGCTTTGCACAGCAAGCAAATGGGATTCCCGATACCTTTTGACATGTTCAACCAGTGCCTATTGTGACTCAATATTGGAAAGGAAGACTGGAAGGTTAGGGCTCAGAGCGGTGCGGTTTTGCACTTCCCATTTCTCTCAGGTTCCTTGTTTTGTCTAGGAAGGAAGCTTCCAATATCCAATATAGAACAGTTCATATAAGGCAGGCATAGGCAAACAGCCTCTCCAGATGTTTTGGACTTCAACTCCCATCCCTAACAGCTTCAGGCTCCTTCCTTCCACCCCTCCTCACCAGTCTCAGTACTTTTCCTTTTCCCCCTCAGCAGCCTCAGTTATTTTCCTTTTTCCCCTAAGCAGTCTTGGTCCTTTCCCTTTTCTCCCTCACCAGCCTCAGTCCTTTTCCTTTCCCCCTCAGCAGCCTCAGTCCTTCCCCCCCAGCAGACTCAGTCCTTTTCCTTCCCCCCCAGCAGCTTCAGTCCTTTTCCTTTCCCCCCTCACCAGCCTCAGTCCTTTCTCCCCCCAGCAGCCTCAGTCCTTTTCCTTTCCCCTCAGCAGCCTCAGTCCTTTTCCTCCCCCCCCTGCAGCCTCAGTCCTTTTCCTTTCCCCCCGCAGCCTCAGTCCTTTCCTTTCCCCCCTCAGCATCCTCAGTCCTTTCCCCCCTCAGCAGCCTCAGTCCTTTTCCTTTCCCCCCTCAGCAGCCTCAGTCCTTTTCCTTTCCCTCCTCATCAGCCTCAGTCCTTTTCATTTCCCCCCTCAGCAGCCTCAGTCCTTTTCACCCTCAGCATCCTCAGTCCTTTCCCTTTCCCTCCTCAGCATCCTCAGTCCTTTTCACCCTCAGCAGCCTCAGTCCTTTCCCTTTCCCTCCTCAGCATCCTCAGTCCTTTTCACCCTTCCCCCCTCACCAGCCTCAGTCCTTTTCCTTTTCACCCTCAGCAGCCTCAGCCTTTTTCCTTTCCCCCCTCACCAGCCTCAGTTCTTTTCCTTTCTCCCCCCTCAGCAGCCTCAGTCCTTTTCCTTTCCCCCCTCAGCAACCTCAGTCCTTTTCCTTTCCCTCCTCAGCAGCCTCAGTCCTTTCCTTTCTCCCCTCAGCAGCCTCAGTCCTTTTCCTTTCCCCCCTCAGCAACCTCAGTCCTTTTCCTTTCCCTCCTCAGCAGCCTCAGTCCTTTCCTTTCTCCCCTCAGCAGCCTCAGTTCTTTTCCTTTCCCCCCTCAGCAACCTCAGTCCTTTTCCTTTCCCTCCTCAGCAGCCTCAGTCCTTTCCTTTCTCCCCTCAGCAGCCTCAGTCCTTTTCCTTTCCCCCCTCAGCAACCTCAGTCCTTTTCCTTTCCCTCCTCAGCAGCCTCAGTCCTTTCCTTTCTCCCCTCAGCAGCCTCAGTTCTTTTCCTTTCCCCCCTCAGCAACCTCAGTCCTTTTCCTTTCCCTCCTCAGCAGCCTCAGTCCTTTCCTTTCTCCCCTCAGCAGCCTCAGTCCTTTTCCTTTCCCCCCTCAGCAACCTCAGTCCTTTTCCTTTCCCTCCTCAGCAGCCTCAGTCCTTTTCCTTTCCCCCCTCAGCAGCCTGAGGCCCTTAAGCCACTTAAGCAACTGAGGGGGAAAAGGAAGGGGCCTGAGGCTGCTAGGAATGGTGCGAGTTTAAGTCCAAAACACCTGGAGGGCCCAAACTTGCCCACACCTGATATTAGGTGTATAGTTTGTGTTTTGTGTTTTTCCAAAACCCTCGCTTCCAAAATATTTACGGGGCTGGAACGAAGCTGGACCCCTTTTGCATCTCGCCATTCCAAATTCCGCCATGCTATTCCGTTTTGTGATCAGGGTTTCTCCAAACCACAGTAGTTTCCAGTCATACCTTTCCGTCGATACGAAAGTATTGCCTCTAGGAAGACCGTGTTCTCAGGACGCTGCTCTAACTAAAAATGTACTTCGGAGAGAAATGTTACTTTTAGCAAAAGGGCCATATTTGCAAATCTGCACTCAGCTGAAACTCCATTTCAGTGGAAGCGCTTCCAAGTGTGTTCTGCATCATTCGTTTTTGGTCTCCACTGCTTTCGTATCATGGAGTCCTTCCACCTGGAAGAGCTTCTTGCGTGCTTGTATTGTCCCAACGAGAAAGGCTTTGTTTCCCTCTTTTTTGTAGGGAGAGAAAGACCTCCTTTGCAACTGCAGACTCAAGGGAGTACAATCCAGAATCATGTCACTTCATACGTTATCCCATTTGCAAACAGCGCTTATAGACCTCAAGCCAACGTATTGGGGAAGGAGTCTTTTTTTAACTTCTCCTTACTTTCTTTTTATAGAATTCACGTCACAGCATTCCATTGTATGGCTATAAAACAGGAAAACAAACAAGACCCCGATGCATTGCGTATTTATTTCCTATTGAAGCATATTAAAAAAAAAAAGATGCAGAGGTGGTTTTGTAGCTCGGTGGGTTTTGCTGAGCTGTACTTTCTTTTTGGAGGAAAAAGAAATCCAAACAGTACTGTAATGTATATATGTAACTTGTACAGTCTTTTCCTTAACCTACTTTTTTGGGAATTGTGTTTCCTTTTAACTAATACTTGACCTATAGTTCTTAGAGCTTTGTATGGCGAAAATAAAAAAAGCTTTTAATTCTACCAAAGTGACGTTGGTTATTTCCCCCTCAGAAGCCTCAGTCCTTTCCTTTTCCCTCCTCGGCAGCCTCAGTCTTTTCCTTTCCCCCCCTTGGCAGCTTCAGTCCTTTTTCTTTCCCCCCTCAGCAGCCTCAGTCCTTTTCCTTTCCCCCTCATCAGCCTCAGTCCTTTTCTCCTTCAGCAGCCTCAGTCCTTTTCCTTTTCACCCTCAAGAGCCTCAGTCCTTTTCTCCTTCAGCCGCCTCAGTCCTTTTCCTTTCCCCTTCATCAGCCTCAGTCCTTTTCCTTTTCACCCTCAAGAGCCTCAGTCCTTTTCTCCTTCAGCCGCCTCAGTCCTTTTCCTTTCCCCTTCATCAGCCTCAGTCCTTTTTCTTTTCACCCTCAAGAGCCTCAGTCCTTTTCCTCCTCCCCCCCCCCCGTCATCAGCCTTAGTCCTTTTCCCCCTCAGCAGCCTCAGTCCTTTTCCTCCCCCCAGCATCCTCAGTGCTTTTCCTTTCCCCCCTCAGCATCCTCAGTCCTTTTCCTTTCCCCCCTCAGCATCCTCAGTCCTTTTCCTTTCCCTCCTCAGCATCCTCAGTCCTTTTCACCATTCCTTTTCCTTTCCCCCCTCAGCATCCTCAGTCCTTTTCCTTTCCCCCCTCAGCATCCTCAGTCCTTTTCCTTTCCCCCCTCAGCATCCTCAGTCCTTTTCCTTTCCCCCCTCAGCATCCTCAGTCCTTTTCCTTTCCCCCCTCAGCATCCTCAGTCCTTTTCCTTTCCCTCCTCAGCATCCTCAGTCCTTTTCACCATCAGCAGCCTCAGTCCTTTTCCTTTCCCCCCTTAGCATCCTCAGTCTTTTTCCTTCCCCCCTCAGCAGCCTCAATCCTTTTCCTTTTCCCCCTCAACAGCCTCAGTCCTTTTCCCCTTCTGCAGCCTCAGTCTTTTTCCTTTCCTCCCTTGGCAGCCTCAGTCCTTTTACTTCCCCCCCCCCCCCCAACAGCCTCAGTCCTTATCCTTTTCCCAGTGGGTGGTTTGTGAGTATTTTAACCCAGAGATGCAAACCTGTGCCTAGGGTTTGTACTGATTACACAACCTTTGGGGATGATTGCATCGTCCCAAGAAACCCAAGCCTCTCAACAAAATTGTCACCACTTTTATTTTGATTTTATAAATTCATATGCAGAAGGTGTATGGGTTGTCTATATTACATTCCCAGCAGAAATGGATTTCAGGATGGATAACAGTGCATATGACCTATTTACATGGAGAGTTCACCTATATACACGCCTCCCGAGTCCAAGATAACGGGCGTCACTGCCTCTTAAAGAAAGTGGCAATTATGAGTCTTCCTAGAGGAGGGCTCCTCAAACCTTTTAAGCTGTTCGCGGTCCCTGAGACGATTGGGAGGCCGGGCTTTTGTTTGGAAAAAAACCACACCGGATTCCCATGCGCGCTGCACTTGTCTTTTCTGGAGTGCAGAAAAAACGGAATAATAATACAACGTTTAAAATGAAGGACAATTTTAACCAATGTAAACGTAGCCAGGATTTCAATGGGAAGTGTGGGCCTGCTTTCGGTTGATGAGAGAATCAAGTTAATTAGGGTTGTATGTTTTCGTTTCAGACTTAGGGCGGCCCTAAGGCAAGCCTCCTTTTTCCTTCCTTTCTTCCTTCCTTCCCCTTCTTTTTCTTTTTCTCTTCTCCCCATTTCCCTTTTCAGCCTTTTCCTTTTGCTCTTTCTTTCCTCTCTTCATTCCCTCTTCCTTTTTCTCATTCAATCCCTCCTTTCCTTTCTTTTCCTTTCCATCTTTCATTCTCTTGTCCTTCCTTTCCCCCTTCCCTTCCTTTCTTCATTTCTTCCCTTCCCTTTTCTCCTTCAATCTTTCCTTTCACCCTCCTTCCATTTTTCCTTTCTCCCTTTTTATTTTTCTCCCCCTTTCCCTTCCTTTTTTCTCTTTTTTTTGTTCTTCCTTCCCTTTCCTTCTTTTTCTCCTTAATTACTTCCTTTCACCCTCCTTCCCTGTTTTTCCTTTCTCACACCTTTTTTCTCCCCTCTTTCTCTTTTTCTCTTCCATTTCCCTTTCTTCCTCCTCTTTTTGCGCTTCCTTTCCTTTTCTTATTCAATCCCTCCTTTCCTCCTTCCTTCCCAACTTTCCTTCTCTTTCCTCCCTCCCTTCCCTTCCTCCCTCTTCCTTCCTTTCTTTATTCCCTCTCTGTTCTCCTTCCTTCCTTCCCTCCCCCCTTCTTTCCTCCTTCTTTTCCCTTTCTCCTTCTTCCTTCCTTCCTTCCTCCTCCCTCTCCCTCTTTTTTCCTCCCTTTCTTTCCCTTCTCATTCTCCTCCTTCTTCCTTCCCCTCCCCCCCTCATCCCTACCCTCCCTCTTTCTCCTTTCTTTTTTCCCTCATTTCCCTTCCTTCTTCCTTCCTTCCTTCCTTCTTCCTTCTCTTCCTTCCTTCCTTCTTCCCTCCCTCCCTCCCTCCTTCCCTCCCCTCCCTCTTTCTCCCTTTCTTTATTCCCTCTCTGTTCTCCTTCCTTCCTTCCTTCCTTCCTCCCTCCCTCCCTCCCTCCCTCCCTCCCTCCCCCTCCTCTTTTCCTCCCTTTTTTTTCCCTCTCTCTTCTCCTTCTCCTTCCTTCCTCTCCTCCTTCCTTCCTTCCCTTCTTCCTTCCTCCTTCCTTCTCCCTCCCTCCCTCCCTCCCTCCTCCTTCCCTCCTTCCTTCCTTTTCTTCCTTTCTTCCCTTTCTCCTTTCCTTCCCTCCCTCCCTCCCTCCCTCCCTTCCCTTCCTTTTCCTTCTTTCCTTCCTTCTTTCCCTTCCCTTCCCTTCCCTACCCTTCCCTTCCCTTCCCTTCCCTTCCCTTCCCTTCCCTTCCCTTTCCTTCCCTTCCCTTCCCTTCCCTTCCCTTCCCTTCCCTTCCCTTCCTTTCTTCTGCTCCCTTTTCTCCTTCATTCCCTCTTCCCTTTCTTCTCTCTCCCTCTCTCTTCCTTCCTTCCTTCCCTTTGGCTATGGCATGAGTGGGGAATAATGATAATAACAACAGGCCGGGAGAAAAGCCTTGACGGGCCGGATGTGGCCCGTGTGCCTTGGCCTGAGGGCATCTGTTCAAGATGATGAACTGCAGCACGCAGCCCTCCTGACCATGGACTGTTCTGCCTCTGGTTGCTGGGCATTGTTGTCCAACAACATCCCACCCTCCTCCTAAACGGGCAACCCTAAAGCCATCTATACAATCTCTTTGGCACTCAATAACAATGACATGTCAGTTTACTGTCGGACAGAAGGAATCCCTGACATCTTTCCCTTCTTATTTACAAAATACTACACAAGCTGTGAGCTTTTAGCATGGGAACAATAAGGCAGGGGGATTTTGGCAAAAAGGATAGAAAACTGACTAAGAGCTGCATGGCTGCAAATGGCAAAATGGCTGCAAATGGCATTTTAGTGGCTTGATGCAAGAATGTGCCCAGTTCAGCGCCGGATGATATAATAAAAGTCTTTTTTGAAAAACAGTGTGATGTGGCATGGATGCTGCTAATGCATGATAAGCGTGTTGCAATATTCCCGGATGCACAAATGCCCCGGCAATCACAATAACACACTTTGACGGCTAATGCGGGTCTCAAAGCCCATCTGAACATAACAGCTCCCGTCAAGGAAAGTTGTCAGCGAGAGAGACGTTCGAGAGAGACGTTGCAAAGACGCCCTGTGTTGTATATCGATATCTGCTGATGCGGTGGCGACGGACTCCAGTCCGAAAAGGTCTGCAACCAGTTCCAGTGGGCACGCAACTCCTACGGCGTGTACGGTGGTGGCTTCTCGAAAGGAGGAAAGTATGGTGGGGAGTAACGGGGAGGTGCCGTGGGCGTCCACACGTAACTCGGCGACGGCGATAAGGACGGAGGCTCATCCGACAGCCCCGATGGCACGGAGGCCTGGAACAGGGTGGAATGCTGCAATGAACAAGAGAAAGAAAGAGGCATGTAGTGACGCCCCAAAGAGAGATGCAGAATGGATCCCTCCTGAAATGGGGAGAGGGCCTTCTTTAGGGAATGGCTTGCGCTGCTTGCATCCTAGCAAAGGGCAAAGAGACCTTATGGCAACGGGCCGTCCCCAAGTTACAAACATCCCACTTACAAATGAACGGGGCTGAGACAACAGGAAGGGAGAGGAATCTACTTCTAGGAAGGGAAATCCATTCCTGGAAGAGTTATGGTCATGGGAAAGGGGGTCTCCATTGGAGCTTTATCCCCAATCCTTTATTCCCAATCCAAACAAGCGACATTTTCCAAAAGGCCAATTCTCACAGGGACAGATGGTCATGCCATTACCGCTCAAGCAGGGAGCTTTGAGATGGTTGAACAGAAGCTCTCCGAAGCTCTAGGTGCTCTCACTGCCTACTACAGGGAAAACCAGCTGATCCCCAACCCATCTAAAACACAGACATGTGCCTTTTACCTTAAAAGCAGACAAGCATCCCGAGCTCTGAGGATTATGACCTGGGAAGGAATCCCACGGGAGCATTGCAGCGCACTCAAATACCTGGGAGTCACTCTGGATCGTTCTCTGACCAACAAGAAGCACTGCCTGAATATCAAGCAAAAAGTGGGTGCTAGAAACAATATCATACGAAAGCTGACTGGCACAACCTGGGGATCACAACCAGACACAGTGAAGACATCTGCCCTTACGCTATGCTACTCTGCTGCTGAGTATGCATGCCCAGTGTGGAACACATCTCACCACACTAAAACAGTGGATGTGGCTCTTAATGAGACATACTGCATGATCACGGGGTGTCTGTGCCCTACACCACTGGAGAAATTACACTGCTTAGCCGGTATTGCACCACCTGACATCCGCCAGGAAGTAGCAGCCAATAGTGAAAGGACCAAGGCAGAGACATCTCCAGCTCATCCCCTGTTTCGGTATCAGCCAGCACGTCAACGACTTAAATCAAGAAATAGTTTTCTAAGATCTACAGAGACACTCGCTGGAACACCTCAGCAAGCAAGAGTCCAAAAGTGGCAGGCTCAAACTCAGCACCTCAATCCGTGGTTGATACCAGACTCCCCCCTGGGCACACAGAAGACGGGATGAGTTGGAAGGCGCTGAACAGACTGCGCTCTGGCACCACGAGATGCAGAGCCAACCTCAAGAAATGGGGCCACCAAGTAGAATCCTCGATATGCGAGTGTGGAGAAGAGCAAACCACTGACCACCTGCTGCAATGCAACCTGAGCCTTGCCACATGCACCATGGAGGACCTTCTTGCGGCAACACCAGAGGCACTCCAAGGGGCCAGATACTGGTCAAAGGACATCTAATCAACAACCAAGCTTGCAAACTTTGCGTTTTTTTATGTGTTTGTTTGTTTTGTTCTGTTAGAAATGTAATACAACGGTCTGGTTGCCCCTGACACGATAAATAAATAAATACAGGGACAGAGAATGAGGTGGAATCTTCTGAGCAGATGTACACAGAAGAGGGATCTGCTCAAACAACGCTAAAACTTTATTCATCCATCTTTGGTTTTCAGTTTAATACAAGCAGTTCCCAAGCAACAAACGTGATTGGTTCCGTAGGTTTGTTCTTAAGTTGAATTTGTAAGTCGGAATACACACACACACACACACACACACAAAGCTAATATATATAAAGACCTTGTAAGATTTTGGTAAACAAGGTAAAGGTTTTTCCCCTGACGCATCCGACTCTGGGGGTTGGTGCTCATCTCCATTTCTAAGTCTGAAGACACCTCCAAGGTCATGTGGACACTGGCATGACTGCACGGAGCGCCGCTACCTTCCCGCCGAAGTGGTACCTATTGATCTACTCACATTTGCATGTTTTCAAACTGCTAGGTTGGCAGAAGCTGGGGCTGACAGCGAGAGCTCACCCTGCCCCCCGGATTTGAACCTGTGACCTTTCGATCAGCAAATTCAGCAGCTCAGTGCTTTAACCCACAACACCACTGGGGCTCCTATACATCTATATCTATATCAAGATGGATGGATGGGATCCTCGAAGTGACTGGATTGACCTTGAAGGAGCTGGGGGTGGTGACGGCCAACAGGGAGCTCTGGTGTGGGCTGGTCCATGAGGTCACGAAACGACTGAACGAATGAACAACAAATATCAGAAACAACAATAAAACAATACATCAAGACACAATAAAACTGGGCTAATGCGGGTCTCAAAGTGCTGATGTGGCAGGAGGTATGCAGGATTATAAGTAAGTAGAGTGTGCAGAGTGTAGCTATCTTAATTCTGCTAAAGTGCTTATGGGACTTGGTATTGGAGGTTCCTAATCTGGGAAGGCACATCGGAACAGCCAGGTCTTCAAATCTTTCTGAAGACTGCCAATGTAGGGGCCTGTCTGAGATCTTTTGGGAGGGCGTTCCAGAGTCAGGGAGCCGCCACAGAAAAGGCCCTGTCTCGAGTCCCCACCAACCACGCTTGTGACGCAGGCAGGATCACGAGCAGGGCCTCTCCAGATGACCGAGTGAACGTGTGGGTTCATAGATGGAGATGCGGTCACGCAGGTAGGGTGGTCCCAAACCGTTCAGGGCTTTGTAGGTAAGCACCTGCACCTTGAATTGGGCTCGGAAAATAAACGGCAGCCAGTGGAGCTCCTTGAACAGGAGGGTTGACCTCTCTCTGTAAGGGGCCCCCGTTAACATCCTGGCTGCTGCCCGTTGGACCAGTTGGAATTTCCGAGCCGTTTTCAAGGGCAGCCCTACGTAGAGCGCATTGCAGTAATCCAACCTAGAGGTGACCAAGGCATGGACCACCCCTGCCAGATCAGCCTTCGATATATATATAACAAACCTACCGAACCCCCCTTGTTCGTAACTTGGGGACTGCCTGAAGTACACCTTTCCAGTCTTGGGGGGATTCAGAAATGAGGCCCAAGGATGCTAGTGATGTTAATTGGTGTTATTGTGTTATTACATGCTGAATATCCCTCGTAGGAGTTGCAGTTTGGTGAGGCATCAGCATTCTTAGAGAAGACATTGTGAAATTACAACTCTTATGATTCCCAAGCTTTAAAGTGGTAATTCAACAGTGAAGTTGCACCCTTGGCCTCAAATCCTGAGCTTCCTTAGAGAAACAGATAGTGGTCAATTTATTAGTCAACGGTTGTCGGTGGCCAAAGAGCAGCAGGTTGCCTGCAAAGCAAAGAAGGCCAACCGTAGCACCAGTGGTTGATGCACTTTCCCGGGGGCCACCTACCTGGAAGTCATATGCTGAATATGGCGGCAGGTGGGGCGTGCTGTGGTAGTATGTGTTGTACGACGTCACTTGGGGTCTCGAATAGTAGGAAACGGCTGGACGTGGGTTTTCGGCTGCGCAGTTAAGAGCCGGGAGCGAGGGAGTCTGCAGATAGAACGGAGAAAAGACAAAACGTGGTTGGTAGACCGAACGGAAGAGACGAGACTGGGAAATGGCCAGAGGGATCTGAGAAGAGAGGCGAATCCTATCCACTTTTGATTCCTGGACAAACCATTTAGGACTTGCAAAATAACACTAGGCAAACAACTTTTGAAAAATGTTTTGTTCCTGGTTTGAAAGTATTATTCCTGTTTCATTGTGTTGTTGTTGTTATTGTTGTTGTTGTTGTTTTCCTCTCGAAACTGCTTGAGACTCATTGGGAAAAATATAACAAAATGTGGCATAGCAGGAGGTCCAGCCAAAACAAAGTTTTTGCAAACTTTTCCAATGTTTTGATGACAGAACCAATTAGGAAACGATGTTTATAATCCAGGAACAAACATTGTGTAACACAAGTGTAATACGTTGAGCCTAAAATAGCATTAAAACCAAGGGTTTGAATGGATACATCAGCCCTGAATCAACCGTATCAAACCTTCTCTGTTTGGGAACAGTCAGGGCACGAACTGCAGTTCGAACATCTGAAAGCAAACTAGACTCACACCCATCATTCTCAGCCTTTGACTCTTCCAAAGAGTTTGGACTCCAATGCCCAGAATTCCTTACCACTAATCATTTTGGCTAGGGCTTCTGGAAAATGAAATACAACAAACCTGAAGGCTAAAATCTGCTAACTATTGCTTTAGTTTGGTCTTCCAGGTATTTTACATTTCATTTTCTGATCACTGGAGACCTTGGTGGCGCAGCGGGTTAAACTGCTGAGCTGCTGAACTTGCTGACCGAAAGGTCGGCGGTTTGAATCTGGGGAGTGGGGTGAGCTCCTGCTGTTAGGCCCAGCTTCTGCCATACTAGCAGTTCGAAAACATGCCAATGTGAGTAGATCAATAGGTACTGCTTCAGAGGGAAGGTAACGGCGTTCCATGCAGTCATGCTGGCCACATGACCTTGAAGGCGTCTATGGACAACACCGGCTCCTTGGTTTAGAAATGGAAATGAGCACCAGAGTTGGACACATCGGGGAAAAACCTTTACCTTTACTTTTCTGATCACTGGAGTCTAAAACACCTGGGAGACTAAAGCTGGGGAAAGTACTGCTTTAGATTATATTGACACAGATGGAGTCCAGTTCAGCCTAACTTTGCATTTGCCATGACTTTTTTCCTATGCGAAACAACACCAAAATCTGGACCCTACAACGTCATCTTACCATATCTTTGAAGCCGCCCAGGATCGCAGCCGTAATGATCCCCAGGAACAATCCCACGATGTTCAGGATGGTGGCCGACCAGAGCAAATGGTACAGGTGGATGATGTCTTGACAGCTGCTGACGTCGATGTACTCGTAATAGCCGCCGGAAATCTGCACTCTGCTGAACCCAAAGAAGTGCCTGCTTTAAGAGAAATCCCAAGCTCCCGACATGCTCCGTTGCGTAAGGAGGGGAGTCTGCCTTCATTATCAGATGGGAATTAAGATGCTTTCGGCCCTTTACAGCCAGAATAATCAGGCAAGTATGTTGTTTACATTTACACCAATGACCAGCCACTGCTAGAAGGGACAGAGAGTTTCATCTATGCTGACGATCGTGCCATCACCACCCAAGCAGGAAGCTTTGAAACACTTGAACAGAAGCTCTCCAAAGCTTTAGGTGCTCTTACTGCCTCTTATTGTGTCTGTGTCTGTCACCAGACACAGTGAAGACATCTACCCTTGCGCTATGCTACTCTGCTGCTGAGTATGCATGCCCAGTGTGGAACACATCTCACCACACTAAAACAGTGGATGTGGCTCTTAATGAGACATGCCGCATTATCACGGGGTGTCTGCGCCCTACACCACTGGAGAAATTACACTGTCTAGCCAGTATTGCACCACCTGACATCCGCCGGGAAGTAGCAGCCAATAGTGAAAGGACCAAGGCAGTGACATCTCCAGCTCATCCCCTGTTTGGGTATCAGCCAGCACGTCACCGACTTAAATCAAGAAATAGTTTTCTAAGATCTACAGAGACACTCGCAGGAACACCTCAGCAAGCAAGAGTCCAAAAG